GCAGCTCTTTCAAATTAAAAGGGTTTCCAGTAAAACCCAGGAAGCTGCAAGTGGGAACAGAAAACCAGCACTGCAGTGAGAAAACACAAAAGGAGGCACAGCATTAAACCTTCTCCCTCTCACCCACAACATCACACCAAACCCAGAACAAACACAGTCCCACAGCCACAGCATTCAGTCCATTTACCTCAGGGTAGTGTTTCAGTGCCAGGTGAGCCTTCCCCATCAGAAAATAGGCTTTAATACATTTTTCATTGCACTGTGTTAAAAAAGAAACTATTAATTATGTGTTTAGAAAATTTTAGCCTTCACATATTTTTTCCAGCCTTCTGATTAATAGTTTTATCCTCCCAAAAGAACTGTGGACAAAGAGGAGGGAATTCACATCACCTACTAGAGGTGTTAAAAGTTTCTGTGCTGAATTATCACCTCCAGGGACCAACTTCCCTTCCCTGTGCAAGGAGCACAGGCTTTGGTTTAAGGTGGAAAGCAGGACCTTTTCCAGTTCAGTTGTGTGTCAAAAATATGGATTTATTTAAATGATTAATAACCTGCTAATTGTGTTCTAGTCATGGGCATCACTGATGGAACACAACTGAATTTGGATCCAGCTTTATATCTTCACCTTTTCCTTTTGGGAGCTTCAAGAGTCCATTTTTAAAAGGCTGGGCAGAATATTCTGTGCCAATATGTGCAGTTATGAGCTCATTTATCACCCCAAACTTTTTAATTAAATGCTCTTAAGAGCCAGAAAAGCTTCTGCACACAGGGAGCACTGAAATATTAACTGGTTTATGCTGTTTAGATTAACTCAGGATGCAGCAATCTGGGCACATTCCCTCATTTCCATCAGCCAGTTGTCTCTATGCCCTCAGTTCCACACAAACCCAATCCCAAAATTACCTTTAATGCCCATTCACAGTCACCAATGGCTTTTTCATACTCCTGGATCTTCAGGTAGGCCTGAGATAAACCCCAAAAAAGTCCAGGCAGGAGAATTAGAATCCTTCAAACAACTTCTGCTGACTGTTGTACAAACACCAGCTAATTAAAAAGAATAAAACCAGGCTGCTGATTTGCCTGGCCATTGATTTTGCAGGATAATTACCAGCTGGTTCTTAACTTGTCCTCCATCTCCTTGGGGTTTGTAATTTAGAACAAACTTAATAAAATTCAACACACACACATATGGACTTTAAAAGGGAAATAGAGAATGCAAAGCAAATGTTACATTCTACAGCCGTATAAGTGATCCCTAAAAAGAATTAACGAAAGAAATCAGTGTATTTTAAATAAAACTATGAATTAGAATCTTTTTTTTCCCAGTTATTCTGGAGGAGCCACATCCAAAGGAGAGGAGACCTGAGGAAGACCCCGAGGAAGGAATAAGCACATTTGGGTTGCAGAAGGATCTTCCTGGGCTCTGCCCTGGCACAGCAACACCCAAACCAGGCAGAGCAGCTCTGCCCACTGACCTGTGCCCTGTTACAGCTGTGCCCACTGACCTGTGCCCACTGACCTGTGCCCTGTTACAGCTGTGCCCACTGACCTGTGCCCACTGACCTGTGCCCTGTTACAGCTGTGCCCACTGACCTGTGCCCTGTTGGTGTACAGCTGTGCCCACTGACCTGTGCCCTGCTGGTGTACAGCTGTGCCCACTGACCTGTGCCCTGTTACAGCTGTGCCCACTGACCTGTGCCCTGCTGGTGTACAGCTGTGCCCACTGACCTGTGCCCTGTTTGTGAACAGCTGTGCCCACTGACCTGTGCCCTGCTGGTGTACAGCTGTGCCCACTGACCTGTGCCCTGTTGGTGTACAGCTGTGCCCACTGACCTGTGCCCTGTTGGTGTACAGCTGTGCCCACTGACCTGTGCCCTGCTGGTGTACAGCTGTGCCCACTGACCTGTGCCCTGTTGGTGTACAGCTGTGCCCACTGACCTGTGCCCTGTTGGTGTACAGCTCCTGCTTGTCCCGGAGCTTCTGCAGCCCCTCCGAGTAGCTCTGGATGGCCCCGGCAAAGTCTCCTCTCCTGAAGTCCTCGTTCCCCTTCTCCTTCAGAGCTGCACAAGGACACACCCTCAGGACCCAGCTGGGAGCTGCCCAGGGCTGGCTGAGGACACAGGGACACCCAGACTCGCTCCCTCCATCCCAAACCCTTCCAATAAACAGGATAAGGTGGAGAGGAACAGCTCTGGGAGCCCCCAGCCCTGCTACAGACAGCTCACTGTGCTGGGGACGGGATTTGGGGGCTCAGACAGACAGAGCAGCCACTCCCCCAGCTCCTGCCAGGCCATTACCCAAAAACCCTCTGAGCAATTACCATTACCCAAAAACCCTCTGAGCAATTACCATTACCCAAAACCCCTCTGAGCAATTACCATTACCCAAAAACCCTCTGAGCAATTACCATTACCCAAAAACCCTCTGAGCAATTACCATTTGCCAGCTGCTCCTTTCTCTTCCTCTGTTTAGCTCGTTCCTTTGCATCCTTCTCCAGCATTGCCAGGAAAGCATCTTGGAGCCAGGGGAGTTGGTGGCATTTCAGTCAAGGGAAAAACAAAATGAAAAGAGAAAACTCATTAAAATCAATCTACAGATAAGAAAAAAATATAATTTCTGGGGTATTTCTGAGTCATTTCTTAATAAAAAAGATGCTGTGGGGACATTTCAACAGTTAAAGTGGAATGTGAATGACAAGCTATCACAGATGATGATGATGCCACCACTGCCAGGACTGGCACACCTGCCTTGCTGCAGCTCATCTCTCGAGATAAACATGTTTGCTTTTAAATTCAGAATGCAAAGTTTGTAGATGAGAGGCCAGAACACAGTAACTCCACCAGCAAGGCTCCTGCCTATGGAAAACACAGCCATGCTGCTAAAACCCTTGAGTGCCTTCCTAGAGCTGACTGGATCTTGATTAAAATTTTATTATCAATTTTATTTTATTAACGTTATCTATTGATTTTATTAAATTCGACGTATTTTGGTAATTTTATTATTAACCATTTTAAAATTAAAATTAAACTTTTTTTACTTAAAAACTCTGATTTTTCACTGAAGAAGCCAGCTTTGATTGTGGCAGGAGAGGAATTAGGTTTTGCATTAACAGCAGCTCTGCTAGAACTGGTTGAAAGGATGTCACAGAGCAGAGTGAGCACTGTCCTACCTGCATTTGCTGCCTCTGCTGGGCCCTGAAAAAAGAGAAACACAGCACAGGGTTTTTAACAATTTTTGACATTATTGGAAAGGTTCTACTTTTGCCTTCAAGGAGGCAAGTCACCAAAATCCAAACCCCACTGCAGGAATCAAAACCTAATTAACCAAGGGACTCGTGTGTCCTCAACTAGTCTTACTCAAGTTCCTGAAGTGCAGGTAAAAGCTGTAAATTGTGGCACCTCAGTGCAGGTAAAAGCTGTACATTTTGGCACCTCAGTGCCTGCATCCAACTTGGATAAATCCAAGAGAAACCCTCTGTGTTCTCAGCAGCCCCAAGGCACAGAAAACATCACATCAAGCACCTCCCAATAAAATAACTACCGGAAAAAATAAAGCCACGTTCAGCCCATGGTTGTAAATATTGTTTAAAATTCTTTCCCCTGAGCCAGGGCTGTGAATTATTTAAAAGAGTTAACCCAGCTTTGAGCTCAGAGGCAAAGCCCTCACAGAGGCTCGGGTGTTGATGACTGTCCTGTTCACCGTGGTCTTGGTTTCCTCCTCTTTGCTGGCTCCTTCCTCCTGGAGCCTTCTCTCTGCCTCAGCAAGGGCTTTTTCCTTGACAGCCGAGTCTGTGGACTTCAGGCCTTGCAGCAAATTGCCTGGAAAGAAGACGGGAAAATAAGGGATTTATACACACACAGGATATCCAAGTGATCCTGGAGGGACCACGAGCTCAGCTGGCACCTGCCTTTGAAGTGACCAGCACGGCCTTTATTATAGAATGACAGACTGGTTTGGGTTGGAAAGGACCCCAAAGCTCATTTAATTCCCCCCCCTGCCCCGGGCAGAGACTCCCTCCATGGACCAGGGCTGCTCCGAGCCCCGTCCCGCCTGGCCCGGGACACTTTATAAACACAAACATCCACAAACTCAATTTCCCGTCACTTTCCGGAGCCCCCCGGAGTGTCTGCGCTAGAAAAACAAACCAACAGATACATTTATTTATAAATAAATACAGAGGTGTGTATAGATATACACAAAAGAAAGCGACTCTCAGCATCCCCAAAGCATCACCGCACCTGGGCCCGTGGGGAGACACCCGAATCCACGGGGACACACCCGAGCTCACAGGGAGACCGCGGATAACCCAAATCGGGGCAGTGGAGCAGCAATTCCCCCCTTTTCCCCTCATTTTCCGCCTCCCTCTCCCCCCAGACCCCTCCCCGGTGTTGTTCCCTTCCCCACCCGGAGGGGCCGGGGACGCGCGGCCCCCGCTGGGCACTCACTGACATCGTCCACGCGGCGCAGGAAGCGCTGGAAATCCGCCTCGGTGTCCTCGTCGCGGAGCATGGCCGGGGGGACAGACGGGGGGACAGACAGCGGGACAGGGGAGGGGACACGGGGGACACACGAAGGGCCCGGCGGGGCCGGGACTCGAACCCGCGGCGCCGTTGCCGGGGAGACGCGCCCGGTGACGCCGCATCCGCGGGAGGGGCGCGGGTGGGCGGGGATATGCAAACGAGGGGGCGGTGCCATGCAAATGAGCGCTTGCTATTGCGCGGGCCCGCCCCGGGATCACGGAACGATGGGATCACGGAACGATGGGATCACGGAATTACGGGATCACGGAACGATGGGATCACGGAATTACGGGATCACGGAACGATGGGATCACGGAATGACGGGATCGTTTCGGTTGGAAAAGCCCTCCCATCCCGCCCCGTCCAACCTGTGACCGATCCCCACCTTGTCACCGAGCGCCGCGTCCACTCGTTCCTTGGACTCCTCCAGGGATGGGGACTCCAAACCTCCCTGCGCAGCCCCCTCCAGTGACCACCCTCTTTCCGTGAAGGAATTCTTTATTACTGTTAATAATCACCTCGTCGGGAGACGCTGCAGGGCCGCGTTTCCAAAGCCAGAGCGCTGGAGGTGGTAGTTATAGGAGCTGTCGGCCACCAAAGGGAGCCAGAGCATCGCCGAGCTCCTGCTGCACCGCCGGGATGTTCCCATTCCAGGCACATCCTCACCCGCCCGGCTGGGAGAGAACGGCACAGGCACAGCGAGGTGACCTGGCAGCGCCCAAGGACGGGTCACTGTGGGGTCTGATGGGTGTGAAATTAGAAATTCTCACTATAAATTTCCACCCCGCAGCTCCATTCGCCTGCCTCTGCTTCCACGGCTCCCGGGGGGAGGAATCCCGTGTGCCAGCAAGATGCTGAGCTCCCTCACTCCACAGGCAGCACATCCCCTGCCCCATCCACCCCCTTTGGAGCCAGAATATCCCTTAAACCCCTTTCCCCCTCCCTCATGCACCAAACCCAAACATCTCCCTTCTCCCGCTGCAACCAGCTCTGCCCACGTCATTCACCATCCCAAAGGTGGGGTTTTTATCCCTCTAATGAAGCTGTTTCCAGCCCCGTGTCCGTGGGGTCCAATTAAAAACCCCCTCGAGGTGATGGCTCTGGCACTGGGATGCTCAGAAAGCTGGTTTTTTTTATTGGTTACCCCAGAAACTCTGGGGAACAAAACCACGCTGTGCTGGTGCAGCAGATCTGCACAGGTGAGACACACCTTTACTGAAAGGTGTCCAGGTCTCCATTTCCATACAAAAGCACTTAAAATGATGCCCTGAAGCACATGCACGAGATTCACAATTTGATTACAAACCAACCAATTATAATGTCTGGAAAGAACAAGAGAAAGAAGGTGTTTGTAGCACAAACATCTCCATCCATGCCCCTAACCGCCCCCCCCAGCCCTGCTCTTATTACCCCAAATTACTAATTACTTACCCTAAATTCAGGCCAGACTGGGGGTTAAAGTTGCCACACTCAGCCAGGGTGACTTTGCCAGTCGGGTGCCACGGCCTTAACAGAGGGAGAGAGGAGTTAAAGAACTAAAATGGAAATTAAAAGGCAGGTCTGGAGACTGAAAAACGGCTGAAGAAACACAAAGATCCCGCAAAGAATTTGTCAGCTGTTTGTCACTGAGCACAACCACAACTGCAGGGGAAGGAAACCCCACTTTTCACACGAGGACATGTGCTCAGCAGCGACAGCAAACGAGGCTCCAGGCCCCTCTGTTATCTCTGGGAGAAGAGGGAAAAATACCTGAGCTCCTGGAGCTGAAGCTGGTGCAGCAGGAAAGGAGGCAAAGCCAGGGAAGGGATTCCAGGCAGCCGGCCCTGGATGCAGAGCAGACACTGGGGGCATCCAGGGAAGCAGCTGCTAAAGCCAGGAACACAAAAGCAACCTCAGAGCCCTCCCTTCAAACCCAACCAGGGACTTGGGCCAGTTTGCGTTTCCCCCACTTGAAAGGAATTGGTGGGTTTTTTATATCAAATGGGTAGTGGAAAAAAAAAAAAAAGGTCTTTTTCAGCCAAATGTGAAAATAAACTGTGTGAAAATAAACTCCGAATTTCTGAAAATATTCTTAAGAAAAAGTAAACAGACACCCCACCCCTTGCAACCCCCAGACTAGAAAAATTAAACTTGGGCATTTTGGCGGGTTTTGGTTAAAATTTAGGAAAAAAAGATAAAGACCCTTAATTGAATTCATTTATTAAATAAATTCATTAGATTGAACCCTCATTAATCAAGTTCAGGCGTCCAATTCAGGATGGGTTAAGGAGAACTTTTAAAGCCAAAACTCACACCTTCCATAGCCACACAACAGGGAAGTGCCTTTTTTTGGGGAGGGAAAAAAAGCTGTCCCTGTTTCACAGCGGCCACGGAACTGCATCTGTGTGCTTGTTATCCGAGGGAAATGAATAAATAAATGCAGTGGGGCAAAGACACAAACTTTAAAACACTGTTTGGGACACTCAGGGGTTGTTGGGCCCTGGCAGAGCAGCTAAAGAAGGAGCTTTTTTTTTTTTTTTTTTTTTTCTTTTTTGTAATTTTTATTTGAACACAGTATTCTGACAGAATGCAAAGTCAAAATCCTCAGTTAGTATCAGTATTTACACCAGTGAGAATGGGGATAAAGGTGGACTCGATGTTTCACTCGGTAAAAAGATTTTTTGTTTTTTTCTTTTTTTAACAAGATAGAAGGCCCCCAAAAGTAGGGAATGCTGGGGAAGGATGGCGATGGAGGGGCAGAGAACAACTACCAAAACAGCCTAGGTGTGAAAAATGTGGGGTTTGAAGGCTCCATAGAAAAGTGTGAAAATAAAAGTCCACTCTCAAAGCTGAAGGACGGGATGCACTGTCGTCACCTTCACGCATGGGCAGCACAATGTCAGCACTCCTGGGGCCCCTGGCTGGGGATGGGCACACACACCAACACACACAGTGCCCAGGGGCTGGGCTGGCACCTCCTCAGAGGTGGAACTCAGAGCAGGGAAGCCTGGGCTGCCCTGGGAACGGGCAACTTGTACATTAAATAAATGACCCCCAATAAGGGCGAGTGTCAAAGCACTGCAAGGACTGGGAGGAGTTGTGAGAACGTGAAGAAGGAGCTCACAGGGTTCACTCCTGCTTGGAGTGGTGCTCACTCCACCCATGGAATGGTTTGGGTTGGAAGGGACCTTAAAGCTGCCCCAGTTCCAACCCCAGACCCACTGTCAGTGTGGGTGCTGGGCTGGGCTCTGGGCTGGGCCCCTTTTCCAACAGAAAGGCCAATCCAGGGGGGAGTTCCCCCTTTTCACCCGACAGGGGCTGATGGTTGGCACTGGGCAGCTCAGCTCTCAGGGGTTAGAACTGGGGAGGTCCAACACACAGATGACAAAACCAGCCAAAACTCTGCAGAGGTCTGACAGACTGAGCTCACCCAGAGCAACGGAGGTACCACTGATGTGACAAACTGAGCTCACCCCAGGGACAGAGGTACCACTGATGTGACAAACTGAGCTCACCAAGAGCAATGGAGGTACCACTGATCTGACAAACTGAGCTCACCAAGAGCAATGGAGGTACCACTGATCTGACAAACTGAGCTCACCCCAGGGACAGAGGTACCACTGATGTGACAAACTGAGCTCACCCCAGGGATGGAGGTACCACTGATGTGACAAACTGAGCTCACCCCAGGGACAGAGGTACCACTGATGTGACAAACTGAGCTCACCCCAGGGACAGAGGTACCACTGATCTGACAAACTGAGCTCACCCCAGGGACAGAGGTACCACTGATCTGACAAACTGAGCTCACCAAGAGCAACGGAGGTACCACTGATCTGACAAACTGAGCTCACCCCAGAGACAGAGGTACCACTGATCTGACAAACTGAGCTCACCCCAGAGACAGAGGTACCACTGATCTGACAAACTGAGCTCACCCCAGGGATGGAGGTACCACTGATCTGACAAACTGAGCTCACCAAGAGCAATGGAGGTACCACTGATGTGACAAACTGAGCTCACCCCAGGGACAGAGGTACCACTGATGTGACAAACTGAGCTCACCCCAGGGACAGAGGTACCACTGATCTGACAAACTGAGCTCACCCCAGGGACAGAAGCACCCACTGCTGCCCCAAAGCTCCCTGGTGCAGACACACCCCGGGAGCTCCCTGTGCTGCTCTGACCGATGGGTTTCTCGGGAAAACAAAGCAATCCTAAGGACTGTGAGCCAAACTTCCCCCCAGTTACACCGACACTGCTGTGATGGGTCATGCAAGGGCAGGATCTGCTGCAGGGCTTTGGGGTGAGGCCCCATCCTGCCCCGAGATCCCACCGGGATGGGTCCTGCACCTCCAGCCATCCCCCACGGGCATCCCAGGAGCTGAGGAAAAAATGCAAAAAACCCCACACTTAGCAAATGACAAGACCATTATTTCCCACAGTTGGAAGTGATGTGATGCTGCTGGAACAGACTGCACTCCTTCCAAGGACACACGGATGGAAGTGGCTCCACTGACCTGAGCCAACTGCGGCCTCCAAACCCCCCTCATCCTCCTGCTCCTCACCACAGAACCACACTCAGCTCGGGTTGGTTTTCTCATTTAAAGGCTTCTGTTCTTTGTAAGAGTTGTTCTCTTTTCGTTTGTTTGTTTGAATTCCTGAATATTTTTTTTCTTCAAATCTGAACTAGCGCTACACCTTCCACATCCAAACTATGTTGAAGCTTTTTATTATTTCAATACTATGACAAAAAACACGGTTCACACTAAAATAGTCACGCACCCACAGTGCACAAGCTTGCAGATCTAAAGTAGAATAAAAAAAGAAAACAAAAGAAACAAAAACAGGAAAAAAAAAAAAAGGAGGAGAAAAAAAACCCCAAAACCCCAACAGAAGGAACATCTCTATACAATGGGCTGGTCTCTCCCTACACGCCTCTGCCTCCCTTCTGCTCAAAGCTCCTTTTCACCCCCAAATCTCAGCGTTACTCCATGATTCCTGATGAGAAATGCCATTATCAGCTGCCCCCTTCCATGATTTTAACACAGCTGCTACGTCACCCCCTTTCCCAGCTCCTAAGACACGATGCCAGGGGGCACCACTGGCACCCCTGGCACTGATTTCCAAGCACTTGCTCCTGATTTCGGGTTTTTGGTTCTGCAGAGCACAGACTCAGCACACACAGGGGGACGGGACAGGACAGGGAGGGGCACCTGGAAGGGACCTACAGGGATCAGCTGGTCCAGCCCCACCAGCAGGAGGGGTCTGGCACCTGCCCAGCACCTTTGGGCAAAGAGTCTTTGCTTTGAAATGTGCTTTCCAGGGCCACAGGACGTGGGATTTACTGACACCGGGACTTACTGGCATCAAAATAAGGGGGAAGGGATGCAGTCAAACATCTGAGCCCAGACCAGCCCCAACTGTACAATCTCCCTTCTGCTCCTCAGAGCTCTGGGAGGGTTCCAGGAAGGAAAGGGGAGAATGTCCTAAAAAAGCAGAGATGATATTTCTCTTATGCAGTCAGGCCCAGGTCCAGCAAGGGACTTCAACTAAATTTAAGAATAGAAGGACTTTCTCCAGCAATTCCCCCATTCCAAGGAGAGCCTGGGTTTATGTGGATTGCTGGATAAAGACCTTGATTGGTGACAAGTGGTTTGAATACCCCCCACCCCCCCAAAAAAAATCCCAAACCAAACCCCAGCATCGCTTTTCTTCTTACTCCAGTAAGAAATAATAATAATAATAATAACAATAATAATAATAATAACAATAATTAAGAAAAGATAAAGGGGAAACAACTACTGTAAACATCCATGTTTGAAAATGTCTCCCTTTGCAAAGCAAGCATGCTGCTACCCTAGAGTCTAGAGACTGGATTGACTTCCAAACAAAAAAAAAAAGAAAAAAAAAAGGCAGCTATTTTACACATCCATTTAAACACAACAAAAGTTAAAAAAATATCTGTCAATTGTAAACACTGGAAAGAACAAAAGTTGGCAAAAAAAAAAAAAATTAACATAAAATTTAAAGAAATGTAGAGTCTGAATACTGCAAATTGAAATACATCCCCCGAAGCTGCAATTTTGGCATTCTTCCTAAAAAATAGATAATAATAAACCCCAAATAAATGTCTAACGTGGCAAACAGAATTCAGTCACAAAGGGCTCGAGACACTTTGCATACTGAACAAATACAAGGTGAACAGAAATTATAACTTATTTATGAGGCTTTACATATTTCAAACTCGACTGAAAAGTATAAAAATAAATTGTGGACTTTGTTCTTTAAGTACCAGCCGTGCCCAGCAGCACAGTGGTTATATCTGCTATACTAACAAAGGAAACAACAGGGTCTCTTTGATTATTTTTTTTTGTCTTTTTTGTGTTTTTTTTTTTCTTTTTTGTCTAGGACTAGTTGATTCTGAGCTTCCCAACCACATTGCAAACAGTATTGCAACTTTTGCTTCTCTGAATATACCCAGGGTCAGCCAAGCCCTGATTTGGTTACGGGTTTAACCCTGTTTTTAACATGTATTACTTTTTAAAAGCAAGTGCACAACGAATAGAATCTTTCTAGAAATAGTAAAAAAAAAAAAAAAAAAAAAAGAGGAAAAAAAAAAAAAACCAAAAAAAAAACCAAAAAAGAGAAGAAGAAAAGAAAATAAAAGAAAAAAAAAAGAGACATTCCCCCCTCCCCCCGTTTATGCATTTTCTGGTTTGTTGGTTTGTTTAAAAAAGGCAACAGACACTAGAGGAATGAGATGGGTGTGTGGGCTGTGATTTCAATGCTCTCTCGTTGTCTCCCCGGTGCTGATCATGCTTTGCTCTCGTTCTCATTTGTTTGTGTGGCTTCGTTGGGGACCGTCTTCACTTCTGCTGGAGGGGTCTTCCTGTCTGTCACCTGCACTTCGGATTTGTCTTCTACTGGGGTTTTCCTGGGGAACAATCACCAAAACGGCACAGTTTAGAGGCACAGAAAGGCAGGCTGAGCGAGCTGATAAGGAACGAATATCTTTCTGGAGCCCACGCCTCGCTTTGGCAGAGCAAAATGAGCATTTCCTGATGCAGGGAGAAGTAAAACCAAACTCAGTCCCCCCCCAGCCCAGCTTCACTTCGCTCTGGATTCATCTTTTTTGCTTCTCCTGCCCTGGGCTAACACGAGGCAGGACGAGGGTGCAGCTGCAGGGGCTCGAGGTGGGCAAAGAGGAGCCCCAGGGAAACTCGCCCGGTTGCCAAGGAATTCGACTTTACCACCCCAATGCCCTGGTCAAACAGGCTGTGTTTTTAGCAGAAAACCCTTTTTTTTCCTACAGGAAGCCAGTCCCAGAATTTCCCAGCACGTTGCAGGAAGTGAAACACGGAAGATGGGAATTTTCCCAGGTGGAAGGGAGGTGCCCATCTCCACAGGCTCTGCCAGCAGCTGACAGCCCAGCACAGCACGAGTGCTCCTGTCCAACCCCTGCCCCACAGCTGGGCACCCTCCCCCAGCCACCCAGGGGAGCTTCTCCTGCTCTTTCCACTCTCCTGCCAAACACAAAA